GGATGGAGGATCTATTTCTTTTTTTCCCTCCTTTCTTGCATGTCTCGCTGGTGGAACCGTAGCAAACGATATCCTTGAGAACTTGAACCTTAAAGGATGAGAGTGAGCGAGAAGACGAAAGTGTGATGATGATGATGATGATGATGATGATGATGATGATTGAGAAGATGATGGTGGAGATGGTAATGGTAATGATAATGGTGGTGGTGATGATGATCATGATCATGACAAGGAGGAGCAGGAGGAGGAGCAGAGGAGGAGCAGGCAAGGAAGGTCGAGGCGGTAGTAGAGTGGTGGTGGTCAGAGAGCAGGAGCAGGAGGCGGAGGAGGGCAGGGATGAAGGAACAGCAGCAGATGGCGTCAAGGGGAAGAAATCCGATTACCCAAGGTGAGCTGAAGTCAGTTGGTAGAGAGTCTGTGAGGAGGAAAATTTTCCCACAGCTGAAGAAGAGAGAACAATTGAGATCAGCTACGTACGGAAGATGTGGAGGAGGAAGAGAAACGAGAGAAGGAGGAAAGGGAAGGGCGGGTATGAGTGCAAGGAGGAGGAGGAAGAGGACGGTGGAAAAGTTGGAGGGGAGGAGCAGGAGCAGGAGCAGGAGCAGGAGCAGGAGCAGGAGCAGGAGCAGGAGCAGGAGCAGGAGCAGGAGCAGGAGCAGGAGCAGGAGCAGCCGGAGGATACCTGTAGTGTAGACGAGATCTCTCTCAGCCTTCTCCTTGAACTCGAGCTGGAGACAAGAGGGTGAGCGGGGAGGAGGGTGAAACAGCGGCTGACGTGTTTGGGTGGGAGGTCGAGCTTCTTCCGGACGCCGTCCGCGATATCGGGGATGCCGTCTAATGCAGCCAGGTCAGGAGACAAAAACAAGCGGAGGGGAGCGAGAAGCAGGAGGACAGGACAGGACAGGACAGGACAGGACAGGAGAGACAAGGAGAGACAAGGAGAGAGGGGAGGAGAGAACGGATGAGAGGGGAGGAAGAGGGGAGGAACGAGGAGGAGACACGTAGGGTGGGCAGCAGGCAGAAGCAATAGGGAGGAAAGGAGAAGTAGCAGCGAGTCAAGCAGCATAGGCAAGTCACCAGCGAGCTCGGCGACGAGTTCATAGCAGATGGAGTTGAACATGGACGTGCTGGTGGGAGGGATGCCCGCAACCTGAGCAGCAGGGCATCAAATCCTCTTGCCCTCTCCTTCCTCCCTGCATCTACCCGAACCTCGTCTCCTAATAATCCTTGGTGCCCCCTGCGTCTGCTCTGCTCTGCTCTGCTCTGCTCTGCTCTGCTCTGCTCTGCTCTGCTCTGCTCTGCTCTGCTCTGCTCTGCTCTGCTCTGCTCTGCTCTGCTCTGCTCTGCTCTGCTCTGCTCTGCTCTGCTCTGCTCTGCTCTGCTCTGCTCTGCTCTGCTCTGCTCTGCTCTGCTCTGCTCTGCTCTGCTCTCTCTCTCCTCTCTCTCTCTCTCTCTCTCTCTCTCTCTCTCTCTCTCTCTC